GCACCCTACATCTGCAGACATCTGGTGAGAAGTGAGAATACGTTTTGTTTAAAGTGCATAACCTTCATATTCCTGTTTCAGGGACGCCAGTGTGGTTCTTTGTGAAGATCGCTCCCATCCGAAATGAACAGGACAAAGTGGTATTGTTTCTTTGCACTTTTAGTGACATCACAGCCTTTAAGCAACCAATCGAAGATGATTCAACGAAGGGTTTGTATTGCTCATCTTTTATCGTTATGCGTTTACATTTGTGGAATTGACTCACGGGGGCTCATCATTGAGCGGCGTTCTAGAAATGATTATTTGGAGTTACATAAGCCCGTAGATCTTGCTGTCACATTTTACGTTTTTGGAATAGTGGACCTGTTTTGGGCTTGCCTCCCATCACTGCTGTCGTCAGCTTATGCTGCACCCTGCCTCTCACCGAGATAATCAATTTATGCAGGTAGAGATGTTTTCTTTTGATTTCTATCTACATATTTTACCATTCAGAGTTTTGTTGAAAAGGCAGCAACATGACATAATACTGATTGAAGGTTATTCATTCTGGAGGTCAGAGGTCAAATGACACTATTTTCTGCAGCTTAAAAGAAAATCAATAAAAAATGAATAAAAAATGTTGTTGGTTAAGTAAAAAAAAAAACAACACAAAATCCCTAAACATTTTTTTGGAAGTGGAACACTTGTTTTTCCACCATCTAAAGGCTTCACAAAGATATAAACGTTTTACTGATAATGCTTAAAGTGATTGTAAACCTTTTTTTTATTTAAAAAAACAACAACAAACAAACACATATCATACTTACCTGCTATGTGTAATGGTTTTGCACAGAGCAACACTGATTCTCCTCTTCTGGTCCCCCACCGGTGCTCCTCCACTGAGTGTCCCCATAGCGAGCTACACTCTGCAAGGCAATGTAGCCATCAGCCAAAAGGAAGTGTCTTTTCCCATACATTGAATTTCAGCTTCTGGATGATAATTGGGCCTGAAAAGAGAGATTGTCAGCAACTCTGACAGCATAATTCTACACACGAAAGTTTTATATTATCCAGGTGGAAGTCCTCTGAGCCACCCTCCATTCAGCAGTGGAGAACAATGGTGAACCAGGCTCGTTTATAATGAGCTTTGCAAGGTGGTGATCTGGAATAAGGAACCATTGGATGCTGGGACAACGTTGGACCTACGGGTGAGTCTGAGAGGACCCCTAAAAAGGTGTGCACCACCATCCCTGAATGCCCGCTATGGTGACCAGATACTGCTCACGCTGCTGACCAGACCCTGATGTCCTGATGTGACCAGATGCTGCTCATGCTGCTGACCAGACCATGATGTCCTGTTGCTGAGGATTTACATACAATGCCCATATTGTATGTATTTGTGGTAAGCGCATAACCGCACTATTTTTTCCATTCTATTGAGTTGGATCTGGAACGTTACAGGATCGTATCCATCTGCCCTCCAGATACACCATATGAACAATTTATGTCCAATATTATTGTTACTATATACGGTGACACCCTCTTTGTTTGATATTTATTTTCTAGCGCTACATACCCCATTTTATTTATTTCACGTTTTAGGTACTGAGGATTACCCTGTATGTTAGCTGCTCACCCTGTCTGTTTGCGCTCACTTACCTTACCCTTTACATATATGCACTGTGTGTGCTCATTGACACACAGGGGGTGGTTTGGCGCCGCTCCCGTTCTCTCCTCACTTGCTGTGATTGACAACAGTGGGAGCCAATGGCGGTCTGCTGTCAATCACAACCAGCAAGCCAATGAGGAAAGAGTGTGGGGGGAGGGGACGAGTCATGCTACATGTGTGAATGGACACACAGAGCACAGTTTGGGAATGATCCTGCTTGAGTGCCCCCATAGCTAGAGACTTACTATTGGGGGCACTCGGCAGGAGAGGAGCCAGGACCACCAGCAGGGGACCCAAAAAGAAGAGAATCAGAGTTGCTCTGTGCAAAACCATTACACCAGCAGGTAGGCTGGCCGGGTGCAGTGGCGTGCGTCTGTAATCCCAGCTACTCGGGAGGCTGAGGCTGTCAGACTGCTTGAGTCCAGGAGTTCTGGTCTACCCTTCACTATGTTGATTGGGAGTCCGCACTAAGTTCGGTATCAATATGGTGGCTCTAGAGGAGCCAGGGGCCACCAGGTTGTCGTAAAGGAGGGGTGAACCAGCCCAGGTCATGCTACAGACAGAAATTGATGCTATCAGGTATAACATGTTTGTTTTTCTTTTTTTAATTATTTCCTTTAAAAACACTTTAAGGAAAAATAAATGTCCCCATCTGTTCTTCAGTTGATAAGTTACACTGCCATACACCATTTTGCAGCTAAATACTTCAGGAAAAATGTTTGATCCCTTCTCTGGGACTAAATATGGTTAGCAGTTATTTTTGCTATATTGTGAATTTCCAAAGTGCTGTAGTCTTTTTGTGGAATTAAGTAATTACTTCCTTCATTAGACATAATGCATCCCTCAGTAGACATAATGCGGTCCCGTTAAAGATTTAGTCTTCTTAATTTGTTCTGCTGCTGCTCCATCTGAGTGTGACACGCCTGCCTTACACAGTCCCAAAAAAGCAAACACAACACTTTTATTCAGGGGGTCCGTCTAGAAGGCTCCGGCCACCGTGATCTGTACTGCTGGTAAAAGCCATTTGTGACATTTGATCTCTTCTATTAATGTGATTCAGGCCTGGCAGTAATGGTATCACTCATAATGTGTTCCGATTTTGTTTGCAGAAATCGGTGTATCTTACCTTTAGATAAGGTGTACTTCTTCTAATGAAGTTAATTAGACAGCAGATTGTCACAAAGAAATAATGGTATCCTCTCTCAGCCAATAGAAAGTGTTGAGTTCTGAGATACATCCCCTATTATATCATTCAAAGGGAACTCCAAATATTCAATGTTGTTTGTGTTGCCCAGTTCTGCAATCCCCAACATACTGAGATGGAGTAGAGGGACACCTATTTAGAATAGAATATGTAAGCAAAGGACACATTCGTGCCTCATCCCCCGTTGCATGGGCCAAAACAAAAATGTCATATAAACCCAATCTGCATTTTTTTTCCACTGCTTCTTTTCCTTTTTCTTTAACCAAAACCTAACCTCATCTAAATATTACTTGGTGAGAAGGGCAAAAATGTTTAAAAAAGTTTGACCTAGTTGACATTAAAGTGGAACTAAACCCCCATATCCTTTACAGCCGTGGAAGCTGCCATCTTAGCCTTTGTTTGATCTGCAGTTGCCATGGTGCTGCACATGTGACCAGTTATGAAACCAACAATTTGATGGCTTGACAGTTTGGTTGAGAACACAAGCACCCATGACAGTTATCAATCTTGGCATGCCTTGAGTGTAACTGTTTTGGAAAAACTAAACCCATCGATTTAACGGTTTCTGAAAACAGTTACATTCCAGGCATGTGGTGAATGGTAACTGTCAAAATGTGTTTGTAATCACAAGCAACTGGCTTGAGATAGACCTGTCATGTCATCAAATGGCTGATGTCTTAACTGATCACATGTGCAGCACCATGGCAACTGCAGATCAAACAGAGGCCAAGATGGCAGCTTCCTTGGCTAAAAAGGAGAGGAGGGTTCAGTCCACTGTAAGCTGGCCTTACACTGGTGGAAATGTGTCCGCTTGAGCATGGACCGACCAACGTCTGATCAGTGTGTGACCGTCCCCACCCTACAGAAGTTGGTTGTTTAATCAACTTCCATCGAAGGGGCCTGCTGCAAAACCTTTCTCAATTGGTGGCTGCAGTCACTCATTAGTGCATTCTACAGGAGAGGGTGCTGCTATCGGAATATAATGTCCCTGGGTGGGGGGGGGGGGGGGAATCTGCCATCCACCTAATTTTTTGTGGATGGAGGAATCTTTTTTTTTTTTTTCATTCAGCCAGAGTGATTCTGCAGCATACTTGGTGGCCCTGTAGGGGATGAGGTTTTTTGGGGGGGACTGGGGAGCACTGCACTGTGGCACACTTGGGGTTGGTGGCACTGTATAGGGCTGAAGGCTCTGTAGCAGGTAGGGAAGAGGGTGGGGGCACTGTGGGAGGCTGGGCAGCAGAGGCGTATTTACCACAAGGCAAACAAGGCATTTGCCTAGAGCGGCATTTTTCAGGGGGGGGGGCAGAACCGCCCCCCCCCCCGAAGAAGGGCCAGAAAAAGGGACACATACAGCATGGGGACCAGGTGGGATCCAAGAGAGGTTGCGGGCTGCTGGATGGTGTATGCAGAGCCCAACTCTTGTTCCTGGGGATGTCCGGTAGCTGCGAAGGTGAGTGTGTTTTCTCTCTCTACCAGGGGATCGGTGTTAGTGGAAGGCTCTCTCAGGTGGGGGGTGGGCAGGGGTGTTGTTGGTTAATATGAGGCTCTCTCCGTGGGGGGGCAATTTTTGTGTTGCCTAGGGCAACACAAAGTCTAAATACACCACTGCTGGGCAGGACTGTGGGCCGGGAGGAGGAAGGCAATGGGCCGGTAGTGGGCCATGGCCCGGTGGTTGAGGACTACAGTTTTAGAATATTTTTCCTGATTAGTGGTGCAGAGCTGTGGAAGACACATTCTATAAGGGAAGATTACCACAGCCCCTTATGTATAAAAAATGGCATGCACATTTGTTTGATATATATGAGTTACAAATGACTATAAACTTTGCATTATGTCTATAATATATATATGTATTTTTTTTCCCTAGGCTGGGGGAAACTAGCACGTTTAACAAGAGCTCTGACCAGCAGCAGAGGGGTCTTACAACAGCTCGCTCCCACCGTCCATAAAGGGGAGAACGTACACAAACACTCCCGGCTTGCTGAGGTAATATTGTACACTGCTCAGGGTGTCTTCCAGGATAGACATAGCCATGCCAAAACAAGCTACAAATTGTGCCTTCGCACTTGTGGTGCCATTAATTGTCAATGGCACCCCGAGCGCACTTAGCAGACGCACCTTTTGCCCCTCGGCAAATGTGCCAAAACGTGCATTGAAAGAACATGCGGCCTGTAACGGAACTGGACCCAGACCGCACTTGGGTATTTCCGTTAGACTCTTGCTTCCCTGTCCAGACACCATCCATGGACACCCCCACTGATCATACAGGAAATAGACAGCACCAGACTCTTCTTAAGACAGGAAGTCAACTGCTTTATTTTTAACACAAACACAAGATATATACACAGGGCGGGGAAATACAACCAGGAACAGGAAACACACACAGCAGGCCCTCCCATCAGGGGGAAGGGCTGCTGGAAACACCCCCCACCAAACCAGGACACAAAACAATGGGATGCAGTACATGGCAGTGGACATTGACCAACCCCCACACCAATACACAAACATTACATCCCATATTAGTTTGCTAGAACAATGGCATGCAGCAGCATGGCAGAGAACAATGAACAATGTAACAACCACCTGGCAGTGAACAATGGACAACCCCCCACCCCACCAATACATGTCAACACCATATTCAGGACAGACCACCCTGTACCCCTAACAGGCACAGGGTGGATTACACATAAGAGGAACAACAGGGGTCCCCCCACCCCCAAAAGTCACTCCCGTCACACGGCCCAAAAAGGTTCTGGAGCGTCTTTGGTACATTTGTCGCACATAGTGCAGCTCATTCACGTGAATTGGCTGCCCTATGAGCATCCTGTAAAAACACACCAAATAAAAAAAAAAAGAGCACGCGAATGCAGGTGTGGATGGGGCCTAACTGTGTCAATATTTTTTATACAAATTTACCATTATAGCAACTTCAGTAAATAAAGAAAAAAAATGATCTGTTCAAATTGATATTGAAAGCGAATATCTATTACCCAGAGCACTAAAAAATACAGCATAAAAATGTTTGATATAATAACACGCACCATACAGCCTCTATATACTGAATCAATCACGATTTTCCTTGCAATGCAACCTTGAGTTCACACGCATCTATCTCGTCAGCATGCATTTTATTCATAACGATGCAAAGCATACGACTGTCAAATATAAATGGGTAATATAGATATATTGGCGGATGGCGGGGATGTGGGCAGTGGCTGAAACGATATATCTGAAGAGCGGCGCTCGGTGCCTCGTTTAATATTCTTCCCCACTCTTGTTTAAGACAGTAGTGATTATGGAACATTTGCATTCATGGACGCAACGCGCTCGCACACAGCTGATTGAGCGGCTGTTCATACTCAGCACACCTTGTGATAGAAATAGGGAGGGATATGAATGACTCTATGTCCCGAAGATCTTACAGATTCCTGTAGATATGACATCGGAGTGTGCGTTAACACAAGAGAAGTGCATTGCCTTGTTTCTGTTGGAGATAAATACGCTCTTGTGATTAATCACCCTTCGCTGCTATTGTTAGAGAATAGAAAATCCTATTAGGCTTAGAGCCTCAGTATGCTTATGACCCGTTCTCGTCTGGGCCTGTAATGTAGTAAACTTTCTTTCAGTATGTCTAAGTTTAGACATGGGGTTGGGGGATGGTAAAAATGCGTGGTTGAACACCATTTTTAGCACACCCAAACCATCCCCTGTATAAGCTGCAGTGGCAGAGGACAGGAGTATCTACATTCCATGATCACAATGCTTTGCTGTGCACCCACAGCAAAAAATTATCCAACATGTCAAGATCAGTGGTCAGAAAGCATGCCAAATGTGACCCATTTAAATAAATGAAGAAGAGCCAGAAAAACCTCACAAAGTGATTGTGGCGTGTTTGTTGGCAAAAATGGGGTTAAAATAGGCATCACATCACCTGCTTCCTGCCTGTCAGTTGCCTCTGAAAAGCAAACGTGGATCACTCTTCAGAGGAGTGGTGCGTTCAGTTGCACATCCAAGGGCCCTTTCACACTGATCGTTTTTTCTTGCTGTTCTTGCATTCACACCTCAGTATGGGGAAGAGCCAGAAAAACCCCACAAAGTGATTGTGGCGTGTTTGTTGGCAAAAATGGGGTTAAAATAGGTATCATCACCTGCTTCCTGCCTGTCGCGTGCCTCTGAAAAGCAAACGTGAATCACTGTTCAGAAGAGCGGTGCATTCAGTTGCACATCCAAGGGCCCTTTCACACTGATCATTTTTTATTGCCGTTTTTGCGTTCACACCTCAGTATGGGGAAGAGCCAGAAAAACCCCACAAAGTGATTGCTGCGTGTTTGTTGCCAAAAATGGGGTTAAAATAGGCATCACATCACCTGCTTCCTGCCTGTCAGTTGCCTCTGAGAAGCAAACGTGGATCACTCTTCAGAGGATCGGTGTGTTCAGTTGCACATCTAAGGGCCCTTTCACACTGATCAGTTTTTCTTGCCATTCTTGCATTCACACCTTAGTGAGTTTTTTTTTCCGGCATCCAAATCGCATGGATAGTAGTAGGGGCAGACTGACAATTTGGAAACTCGGGCACTGCCCGAGGGCCCGGGGTCAGTAGGGGGCCCCATGAGATGCCCCTGGTACCATTTTCATAGGCTTTTTTGAGTTTGGGCAAGGACACAGGGGCCCCATGATCCCCTATTGCCCGGGGGCCCCATGAATTGTCAGTCCGCCTCTGGATAGTAGGTTATATGGTTTCTAATGGCATAGTTCACATTAGTGCGGTCAATTCCAGTGTGTTCCAGTTCCAGAAAAAAAAATGTAGAATGCGCTGCATTTTTTCTGCACTGAACTGTACTGGAACAAGGCAAAATGCATCAAACATGCACTGGAACACACATGTCTTTATTTTGCCTGGGTTCACATACGTGCAATGCGGAACATCGCATGTGATTCGCACAGGAACCGCACCACATTCCTGAGAAAATCACATGCGATTTGTGTGTGGTGCGATTGGAGCCATACATTTTGTGGGCGGCACAGTGGTTTTGTGGTTAGCACTTCTGTCTTGCAGTAATTGGGTCATGGGTTCAATTCCCAACCATGGCACCTCCTGCATTTAGTTTGCATGTTCTCTGTGGGTTTCCTCCGGATACCTCGGTTTCCTCACACTCTCCAAAGACATGCTGGTAGATTTCCTCCATGGTAGGGGTTGGGGAAAGACCTGGCAACCTACCCTGTAAAATAATTGCTAAGAGAATTAATGGAAGAAGTTGCTTACGAGTGAAGGTCCATGCAATTGCCAAGGGTCACATACAACTGAATGCATGTACAGATAGAATCGCACCGCACTCGCACCAAAAAACGTGCAGGACCCTTTTTTGGGTCCCCACTAGAATCGGATCGCATGGGTATTCACACCTATGCAATCCAATTCTGCACATCGCACTGCATTTTGCGGACCGCTTTCGGGGTGTTGTTAACCTAACATACACACCTGCAGCGGTTCGCATGAACGAGGTGCGATTCTGATGCAGTGCGGAATTCTCACTGAAAACACTGCACCGCATCAGTGTGAACCAGGGCAGCGGTTCGCATGAACGAGGTGCGATTCTGATGCGGTGCGGAATTCTCACTGAAAACGCTGCACCGCATCAGTGTAAACCAGGGCAGCGGTTCGCATGAACGAGGTGCGATTCTGATGCGGTGCGGAATTCTCACTGAAAACGCTGCACCGCATCAGTGTGAACCAGGGCTCAAGGTGAAGAAAAAAGAGGGGAAAATGCTCTGGAACACATCAAAAACACACCAGAATGCATGAAAAGCGCAGCAAAAACACGCACGAAGAATGGATTGATTTGTATGATGTGAACTGGCCCTTACAATAAGTGGGTGAAAAATGCATGACCATGGAAATCTTTGCACTAGTCAGTTGCGGGTCAGTTGTGTTTTTAAAAGAAGTCCTGCATGCTGCATTTTTGGTGCAGTAAAAAAACCCCCAATCAAAAACACACCTTCCCATTGAAATTAATTAAAATGCGTTTAAAAATGTAGAGACCTAAAACAGAATTGTGTTTGTATAGAAAGAAAATGTTTGATAGATGCTGGGATTCCCATGTTTAGACAAACAGTCAACTGTAGGAAGTTTTCTAATAAGGTCACTGGCAGGATGTGAATAAACATACACAAATGGGTGCCAGACCATAAAGGTGAAAGAGTCCAAGAAGAACCATCAAAAATATCCAACACGTTTCGGGACTACAATACTCCCCCTTCATCAGGGCAACAAAACAGTTATTAAAAAAAAGAAAAAGAAAATAAACCTTCTTGTCCTTACACAGATAAATACAGTATAAATGTGAGATCAAAGTGTTGCATTGTGTGATAAAACATAATTAAGACCAATGATATATCAAATTATTGTGAAGTGACAAATAGAAATACTTTACATGTGCCAATCCAAAAAAAATCCATAAATAGTGATTGAACCCTGTTCTGCTACTGATTTAGAGGTATCCCATCTGCAAAGGTTCAGTACTAAAGCATGGATACTGGGGGGTCGATCCAGACCCAGAAGGGTGTCTTGTATGTGAGAACCTAAAAAAAAACTACAACCCCATGGAAAAAGACATCTGCACGTCACCATTGGTTGACACTTTGGCAATTTACAACTTTGAAATAAAAACTATTACCCAGATGCCAGAGCTATTTAACCTCCTGTCTGGTGTTCTGCTCTGGATGTTTTACATTGCCTTTTTTCCTTAAGATAAATCTTGTATTTTAAGCTGCAATGATCTGGTTTCACACTGAAGACCCGTCCAGCGTAGTTTAACATCTGAAATGTCACTTTTGAATCATATGCGTTATCTGGTGAATTCCCAGGGTCTTCCCTGTGGCATATCTGATGGACCTTGTCTTCTCATAGACATTCTATTAATGCAGAAGAGTGCAGGGAAATGACAAGTGTTCAGGCCTCTAAGGATCTCCATGTTTCAGCTTCTGTCTGTCTTACATTCTCAGTGTTTCTTTTATTTTATTATTTAATGGTACAAAAGCTGTATAGGAATAAAATGTGTATATAAATATGTGTATACAGTGTTCAGCCATAACATTAAGACCATCCACCTGAGTGGATACTGAATACTGAGTAGGTCCCCATTTTGCCACCATAACAGCCCTGACCCATCAAGGCATAAACTCCACTAGACCTCTGAAGGTAGGCTGTGGTATCTGGCACCAAACCATTATTAATAGATCCTCTAAGTCCTGCAAGTTAGGATGTGGGGCCTCCATGCATCGGACTTGTTTTTACAGCACATACTACATATGCTTGATTGGATTGAGATTTGGAGAATTTGGAATTTTATTCAAATTTAAGAAAGAATATTCTCCTGACGGAGAAAGATTACAATCTTAGAGGCACCTTTGGTGTACAAATATTGCAATGAGCATAAACATACAAAAGAAAGAAAGATTCCAAAAAATGCTAATATATTTCCAAGTTCCCTTCACCTTCCACACCCTGGACCCTCATCATCCCTGCCACCCTCCCCATGACCAGACGATGCTTTATAGGCTCTGGCTGCAGTGAATTCTTTGTGGCAGAAGATGGCATAGAGAAAAATGACTGTACTTGGCACATGTGTGTGGGAATGCCATTAGTAGTGTTTTCTCACGTTTACC